CCGTCCGCTCCCCTGGCGACCGCCCCGCCGTGGGCAGAGCGAAAGCGGCCAGGGCTGGCCCGGGCTCGGCCGTCCTCGCCGCGGGGACGTCCGCCCTCGCGCTCGCTACCCCGGGAGCGATCCCAGCAGCGTGGAGCCGGCCCGGGTCGCGGGCTTTCCAACAAGCAACCCAGCTTCGTTGTTAGGGCACTTACCAAATGCATCGTGGGGTCGGTAGGTGATGCGCAGCTGGCGAGAGGGAAGGACCTGTGCTGTCAGAGCTCCGTCCCAACCCTTCTCTGCTGGGTTGTCGGTACGGCGGCGAAGTCACAAATAAAGAGGGCTGGTAAGAGGCAGTCACGCAGCCTGCGTGCCCAAAAGCCCCACGGCACCGAGGGCAGCGAGGAATTAGACGCCAGTCCGTGGGAACGCGAATGAGCAGTGAGAGCCACTTCAGCAAGTACCGGAGGGGTGAAAGGTGAAGCGGTCTGGGCTTTTGTCGGGGGAGGTTTTAAGAAAGGCCGTGGGTGGGGAGAAATATAAGCAAAGACACCCCTCAGATTTATCATTAAGCACCGTGCTTCAAGTGGAGGTGATGGCTGTGGTGGGGAAAATAAGGATTGAGGAGGTCCTACGCGGCGGTTGTCCACACTGATTTGGGCTCACACAGCCCCAGCACGGTTTCGTCCTGTGCCACCCAGCTGCCTCGCAGCCAGGCATGGCACAGCCAGGCACTGTTGGGAGTTGGGAGGACACCAGCAACCTCTCGGATGCCAGCTGTGCTGCGCGGATGGCCCTGGAGCTGGAGAACAGTCCTTGGCGTCGTTCATTCACTAGCATGGATGTGACCTGCCCATCTCTGTCCAGATGTGCCCCCAGCTGTGTCCTGGAAGGAAATCCTTATAGGGCAGACCCACTTTTGGGTCTGATGCAGTGAAGATGAGGTGTTTCTAGAGTTTCACTCTGCAGCGGCTCAAATCTTAGCATTTAAACTCCCCCAGATTACTTTGAACGTGCTGCAACGTGGAGTGTGCTGCCCGTTGTCTCTAAAGGACCTGCTTTCTCTTTTCCAGGCAAAAGTGACGATGAAGACAGTGTCTGCAAAATGGGCCAAGCCTCAGGGAAGGGTGCCGAGGACGGGAAGGACCACAAGCGGCCCAAGCGACCCCGCACGATCCTGACCACTCAGCAGCGGAGGGCCTTCAAGGCATCATTTGAGGTCTCCTCCAAGCCGTGTAGGAAGGTATGAAGAGAAGGGCCGGGCCTCTGCCGCGGAGAGCTTGCAGTCCTGCCCCCGTCCTTGGCAGCAGTGCTGGTGCTCGGCGAGCTCCCAGCCCTGGGGGCGGCTGCTGGCTGGTGCTGTCCTGGGACACGGCTTGTCCTAGCCGCTCTGCCTCCTCCAAAAGCCGCCCTGGGAGGCTGAGCAGACCTGCTGAGCCAACTGAGACGCTGCTGTTGTGTCCTCTCTCCAAGGTGCGGGAGACGCTGGCAGCTGAGACGGGGCTGAGCGTCCGCGTGGTGCAGGTCTGGTTCCAGAATCAGCGAGCGAAGGTGGGTGGCGCAGGGACAACCCCGGTGGGTGCTGGGAGCTCCCTCCCTCCTCACTCCGCTGAGGGGATGATTTCAACCCCCTTCCTCTGCCCTTTCTTCTTTCCCAGATGAAGAAACTGGCCAGGAGGCAGCAGCAGCAGCAGCAGGATCAGCAAAACACGCAGCGCCTGAGCTCAGGTACCCCAAAACCTCGCACCCAGCCCACCTCGCACCCCTGCTAGCCCTCCTCCTTGTGCTCAGGGTGTCCCTGTGTCCCCGCCGGGAACGTCCCCACCAGGCTTTCAAAGCACCCTGAGCCTTGGGCCCTGCAGTCGAGGGAGGGCTGGGGCCCCTCGAAAAGCAGCAACCCCAGAGCAACCCGACGGTTTGCTCTTGTCTTCCAGCCCAGCCCAATGGAGGTGGCAACGCCGGGTTGGAGGGGATCATGAACCCGTACACCTCGCTGCCACAGCCACAGCAGCTTCTGGGCATGGAGCAGAGCATCTACAGCTCCGACCCTTTCCGGCAAGGGCTCACCCCGCCGCAGATGCCCGGGGACCACATGCACCCCTATGGTAAGGCTCTGAGAGATGCTTTTGCCATGCTTCAGTTTCCCCCTGTGGTTGTATAGGGATGATGCTCCCCACCATGGGTGAAGAAGATGCCCATGGGCTTCCTCCCGCTGTGCGGCCATGCCCTGGGGAGCTTCTGGGAGCATGGCTTGGCCAGCGGAGCAGCGCTGTGGACTTGGGGGGCCCAGTCCCGCTGGAGGCTGTCACGCGTGGGCCGCAGAACCGCAAGGCATTTTTGGGAGCCTGAAGCATCGGGGAAAACAGACAGAGGAGGGGCTGGAGCTACCCCAGCACGTGGCCCTTCAGCGTTGCTTCTCTTCTGCTCCTGCAGGTGCTGAGCCCCTCTTTCATGACTTGGACAGCGACGATACCTCACTTAGCAACCTGGGCGACTGCTTCCTGGCGACGGCAGACGCAGGACCCCTCCAGTCCCGGGTGGGGAATCCCATCGACCACCTTTACTCCATGCAGAGCTCCTATTTCACATCCTGAGCGTCGCCTCCCCCCACGGGGCAGGCGCGGGCATGCACGTCCGTGGCGTTACCCGAAGAGCGGCTGCCGAGGCCGCAAGCGAGAGGGGTTTGGGAGGGAGGGGGACTCGACACTGCTGGGATGCTGTCAAACAATATTTTGTAGCTTGGTATTCCCAAGGACTGAATAAGTTATGGGTTGCATAGTTTCATGTTTCTCTTAGACTCCTAGGATTAGAGACAGGAGCGTTCATTGCAGCTGGCTGGTGGGTTTTCAGATTTGGAACATGGCCCCAGATTTCTAATTCTGGCATGGAGAAAGGTGGGGGGAGGGAAACGAGCCACGAGGGGGAAAAATGTTCCTGCGAGATTGTCCTGGTGCCATATCTCCTCCGTGCGACCTCTGGTCCTAACGGCAGAAAGAGCAAATTATTCATCTTGGTTGTGGGATTTTGCAATGTCAGCCTGGCTTTGAAATTTGAAAAGCTGACAACGTTTTGAGGAAACACAGGGAAATGTTTCTATGCAGTGCTGTCCGCTGTGGCTTTTTCCCTCTGTTGCTCAACCACCGGCATGAGCGCTCGCTGTTTAAACACAGGGACTTTTAAGATAGGTGTTCCCATGCGAATATAGAAACGTAGAAACCCCTAACATCTCCCCGTCCGTGATGATGGGGGCTGTGTGTGTGTACGTGTGTGTGCGTGGGCCCACCCGTGTGTGTGTGTGCAGAACCGTGTGGCTGTGTGTAATATACTGCACAGACACACCTGCCAGATTGTATCAACAAAGTTTATTTCTAAGTCTATCAGAAATTTACTGTACAGCAAAAGTAACTTTATTTTCAGCGTGAACCATATTTAAGGAAATACTCAATGCACTTAAGTTATAAGATGAAATAATTTACTTTTTATAAACATTATGTTTAGGTTGCAAAAGCCCAGTGGCAGGCAAGGAACATCAGTTCACTTCAGGCGATAGGTTCGGGTTTGGGGGTTGGTTATTTTTGGTGCTCTCAGGTGGCCCCACTGGTTTTAAAGGGCAGTTGAAATGCCAGGCAGGGCCAGCTCCGGGCAGGGGCAAAGGAGCCTCTTGCCTCTGTCAGCAGGTCGATGCAGGCAGCAAAACTGAATAGTTGTCCAGGGTCTATGAAATGCAGCAGCCCCTATCGCCCGCCTCGAGTTATAAATCCCTTTGGGTGGAGGCTCAGCGGTGCCTGGTGCTTCCAGCCAGCCTGGCAACCCAGTTCATGTCCCAGGGGTCTTTGGGACAAAGCTGATGACAAAAGGGAGAGGAGACCTGCATTTCCTACCCCCATGCTCAGATTCGTCTCTGCAGAAGCCATGGGAACCTCGGGAAAGTTTTCCTTAGAGTCAAGTCTTCAGCTGACCATCACCTCATCCCTACTCTAGTTTTCATGCGTTGTGTCCTTTTGCGCTGCTGTTCACAAGTTATGTAAACAACAACCTGTAAAGACATGCAAGTGACTGTGAGACTCAAAATACTGGCTCATCGCCACAGTATGAGCTGACACTGAATGTAACAGGGTCTGGAGGTGGCTGACCCAGCAGGAGATGCTGACACACTGTCAGAAATCACATACCAAGATGGAATTAAAAAAAAAACCAAACAAACACAAAACTCTGCAAAAACGCCTGGTCTCTTCTTGTGTGAGGTGTCCTGGTGACTCATAAAGGGGAGGGTTTGAGCATCTCCAAAGTAAGAAGGGTGTTGGGTAGGGTATAGTGAGACAGCAGGGGAAGTTTCTGCTCATTAGGCTTTAGATATCAAGTACTCTCTGGTCTAGGACGAAACTGATCCTTGATGTTCTTCTATTGCCAATAGATAGAGATTGACGAAACTGGAGGTCAGTTCCTCCCACCCGCTCGAGGTGGCAGGGAGGGGTTTCCTGAGCTCTCCACCAAGCACAGCAGGACCTTGGAGGACTAGTTTAGCTGTAAACAACCAACTTTTAGACACCTACAGGCAGTGGAGATGACTTCCACCCAAAATGACCAAAGAAAAAGGGAGGCTAGACGCCAGGCAACCTCCTTTACTACAAGGAGGGAATTTGTAAAAAGGGGATGCGCAGAAAGAGAAATAGAAAAATGTTTGCCAGCTCTCTGCATGGGCTCATTTGTGTTTTTAACCACCAAAAAACCCTGCTTCATGTTTTTGCTTGTCTGCGGTGCTTCTATGCCCTTAGCATTGAGGGAAAGCTGGACAAGCCAGGACAGCAAGGATACCAGCAAAGACCTTTCCCGAATGAACGAGTTCTGGTCTGCCAAGAGCATTTCCCAGGCAGGTGAAACTTGCCATGGTGGCTACGGCTGAAGACGGCAGAGAGGACACAGCGGTACTAACAGCGGTTTGTGATGACTGATGGGAACGGCTGACTCCATTGGCCTTGTCCCTGTTTCCCTCCTGTGCCCTGGGAGCAGGGGTAGATACCCAGGCCAGCTGACGGCCGGAGGGTATAATCACCTTCCCAGGGCTTTTGGAGGTTTGGTAAGAGTGTGGGTCTTAATTTAAACTTTCTTAAAAACCTTTCCTCCAAACCTTTTAGCTCCTTAGCATCCCCAGCTGCCGTTTCAGAAAGCTCACAGAGCAGAGCATGGCTGGGAGGCGTCCATTCCCCTTCAGCGCAGAGGGCTGCAGTCTTGGATGAGATTGCTGCAGGCAGTCTTGGGTGAGATTGCTGCAGGCTAGGTTACCCCCATCAGTGCTCTCACCCAGACTGTCACCTCACTGTGAACCCCAACTCTCCATGCCAGGGCCATGAGGAGCTCCACATTAGGACTGCCAAAAAGATATGAGGGGGTATTTCCCGACAGGTGTTGCTCTTATCACAGCTCTTGACATGGAGAGGCTCTGTGAATACGTGCTGATTCCAGCAAATTGGGAATGGGGAAAAAAACCAGAAACCCACAACTCATTGTCTGAGACATTCAGAACAAGGCATTCTTCTTCCTGCTTTTTGTCTGACACTGCTCTGCTGTTCCTGTGCTATGACACGCTTTCAAAGTTCAACCTGCGGAACAAAATATTCCAAAATGGTTTGACTGCATGAAGTAAATATGTAATTTTTCTTTTGCAAGCTGTAGTTTCCAGGAAAAAGCATGGATTTCTTGCTTTTTGGGGGCTTTTGCTCTCCTTCAGGACAGAAAAGCGTTGACATGGCAGAATCAAAGGACTGGCTTCCAGCTGAGCAACGCTGAGTTCCCAGCCATTGCAGGGGGCTCAACTACTCAGGAGGTCGGGGTGGATCTCCTGAGACACCCCTGGCTTTTCTGGGGTAGGGTGGAGGAGCTGTGGCGAAGGAGAGGAGAGGCAATGATTTGTATCTTTGCAGAGGCGCTGCCAAGAGGCCCCGCAGCAGGGGCTGAAGGGCTGGGGCTGGGGACTGGATGAACAAAGGCAGAGAGGCAAACACCTGAAATGTTAGCATTTCAAGTGAAAATGAAAACCTTCCATCTCCCTCCCAAACACAATGTGAAAAGCCTGTTTTTTACTGTCTTCCCGAGAAAGAGCCAAAAGCCTGGGCAGAGTCTTTCCCTGCCAGACGCAGCCCAAGGAGGTGAGGGAGGGGGTCGGTTTGCATGGCGGGGTGTCTGTCGGGACCTCTGGCCGTGAAGACGTTCATTAATCGCTCCCGGGAAGGAGTCAAGAGGGAGACTGGCAGCGGGATTGCTCCTGTCAGCTGGAATGAAAGGAATCTGGCCTTGGGCAGCGAGGCTCAGATCTCCTCGCGGAGAGCCAGGTGGGGAGACCTCATCTCGGTGACGGCTCTCGCGCAGCGAAACCTCCAGCTGACCTCAGAGCTGGGGTTTAGCTGCCCGCGTGCCGCGGCTGAGACTTTCAAAGCCAGCCCTGAGGCCTCGCTTGTCAAAGGAGTGTTTTGGTGCCAGTCGGTCATGGAGAGAGGCGGTCCTCAGCTCTCTTGGAGGGTCTCCAGGCGAAATCGCCCTGTGACCTGTGGGAAGATGGGCACTGAAGGCGATTAATTGCAATCGCTTCCAAACACTGCCCTGTGGCTGATGAGGGGCTGCAGGAGACAGCCTAGGTGATGGTTAACCCTTCCTCATGTACACAGGTCCCACTTGTGCCAGTCACCGGCCCTGCCTGCACCCCAACTGCTCATCTCAAGCCTGGATGCTGCACAGCCTGCTGGACCCACAGGGCTCAGTGCTGTGCCCTCTAGGTCATCGTACAGCTCAGTTTTCCCCCCTGTTCTCCAAAATGAAGACTTGTTTTTAATCACTGAGCAGGGTCTATTTTCTCTCGACAATAATGTCTTCATCATACGACTTTTCCGAGCCTGTCTCTGGCCTCTGTTGCCTCAAACACGAACTGAAACACACAGGAGGGAAATGAGAAATTTCTAGCAGGTAGGAGAAGACTGTCCAAGGAGAATAAATAAGATTTATTGAGCTGCAAGGTCTTCTCTTCCAGTAGAAATATCTCAGCTGTGGCCCAGAGAAACCTGCTTACTGATTTAAGCTGTAATTAGTGAGTCACCAGGTGTAGGTCTTGCAGAGCTCTGCATGGTCATCTGACAGGAGGGAGGGTAAAGCCCTACAAAAGCAGGATTCACAGGATGCCTAGGTTTGGGAGAAGGTGGGAAGATATGCTGTAGAAATTTGGCTGTCCTGATTTTTGAAGATCTTCTGAAGGACAACAGGGTAGGGACTTGTGTGAGGTTTGCTGTGTTTCTAAAGCCCTTGTTCTTTCTGAGTGTAAAATATGTGTTGGGGAGTTTCTTTGCAGGGATGGTGGTATTTGTGTGTACTCTACTTGGAAAGCTCGCGGGTAGGGGCTGTTGCAGGGGTGCAGTCAGGGTGCTGTGGACTGTGTGACAGACCCTGCCATCAGGCTGGATGGAAGCTCTTTCAGACTTCTCAATCTGAAGTGGCCCTCTGAGGTCTACAGGCAGAGCTGGTGCTAGTCTTTCCAGGCCAGGCCAAGTGGGTTGTGAGCCTACAAAACCCCAGAGTGTGAAATAGGAGGTGCCTCTAGGAATGCCTG